AAAAAAAAAAAAAAAAAAAAAAAAAAAACGTCCGGTTAAAGACAAACGTTTAATGTGAGAATATCTGCAAGTCACTGATAAAAATAAATGTGTATGCATGTATACATATCTTATACGATTATTTCTTTACTTGTCGTGAATTGCATTAAAGACGAGCCTTATACTTCTACCTTCTCGATTTCGTCATTTACTTTCGCTTCGAACGATCTACGACCTCCGATCTCTGCTCAGTCGGAATGCAGTCGAGATTTCAAATAGTTTCCGGATCGGTTCGAAAGGCGAGGCGTTTTCTACCAAACGACAACAAAAGTACCACCTTTCACGCGGATATGAAACGACAGCTATACTCAGTGTACTTTTTAAGCATATTTCGCAATCCACGAACTTATTTTATTTCAAACTTTCAGAAATTTGCCTTGTACTTTAACCTCTCGCGTTGGAATGACGTGCCACGCACGTCGAGAATTTTTCGTCCCAAAATTGCTATATTTTCTCAGTTTCAAGTATATTTAAATATAATCCAGACAAAACGAATAATAAACTTATTACTTCTTAGTAATCATTTCTATACAGTGATATACCGACCAGTTCAAAAAGAAAGCGACAAATTTGTATACATTTTGGTCCCTCGTTATGGTCCGTGAATCAGTTGCCAGCGGAAGAGGTTAAGCGGCCTCGACTCTCTCGTTTCAAATTGTTTTATCGCGACGCCGAACGGACTCATCTTTTTATCTGATTCGATTGAATTCACTGAGACTTCGTTTCAAGAAAACGGCACCGCCAACACCGGCGCGGATGAAATTCCTTCGTAAGCAGATTTCACGCAATGGTTTCTGTATTTGTGATTACACGCAAGTACATGCACAATGCATGCGAGCGTCTGGCTTTCAAGCGAGTGCGTACGTATCCCTAAAATTTAAGTACATATTTGGAAAATCGATATTTCCAGCAACAACGGACAAATATTCTCATTGTGCGACACGTCGGAGAGCAATAATAAAGTCGCAACTCACGAAGAAGCGAAAATTTCCCGTTCCTTGAACCTGCGTCGGCGATTGGTCGAGACAGAGGTGTGTCGATCGTGAGCAACGCCGATTGGTTCGGAACGCCAAGCCTCTCTCCTACACCGGTCTCGTGGCACACGCAACTTCGAGCGTCCTAATTATAGCCACCGCATGACACGACACAAACGCAAACAATTTATGAAAAACTTTCGAGCTACATGTATCAATTAGTTAATCGATAATCCACAGAACTGTCCGCTAAAACTTTTGAAAAACTTCTCCAGTCGCTCGTCTCGTTAATTGAATTACGAGTAATCGTCACGATTTCTACGTACATCACGTGCACACGTACGCAAGTACTGTGTATGCTTTGTACGTACACATGTGTACTAAGCCATTTATCATGTACGTAATATCTTATTATTATCGGATGAACTGAAACGAAAAAGAAAAGCAAGAAAAAAAAACTTTACATGCCGTTAGTTAAAATCAAAAGTAAATCGTACACACATAAACGTGCGGTTACACACGTACACTGTTTCTGCGCGAGAAACATGAATCGAATTATACATATGTGACAGCCTGTTTGAAAGAATCGATGTATTTCACGCTAATTGTTCACGTTCACGTGAGACAGATTTTCTCGGTCGAAAATAAAAAGAATAACGTGTTGTTTTCGTGTCGCTATTTTTGTACGGAAATGTGTAGCTTCAGATGACATTCCGGATATATACTTTGATTCTTATCCAGCTCATCCAACGAACGAGTTTCTTTCTCATTTTCATCAGTTTTAAAAATTAATTTTAATTATCGTTTTTACGTGTTAAAATTTTAACACTTTGTACTGTTTTACAATGCTTCTTTGAATTTATCGAAACACAGGCATTCACAAAGGAAATCTTTGAAATCTAATTGAAATATTAATTTATGTTTAAATGTGTTGATCTTGCTCGCACGTCTACGCGTATCATTTGACTTTCGTGTGTACATATTTAATACGTATAATTCCTAAGAAAATACGATTTTACGTTGATAAATTTGTTTATACGATGTAAAGAATATTAAATGAGACTTCGTTTGAACTCAATAATTTGCATGCATTTGTAGAAAAATATTTCTACAAAATTACTTCAACAAGTAAATCTAAATTAAAACGCTAAAACTTGCGAACTTTTAAAATTTAACACGTATTCTGATACCTCCTATTCCATTTTCTAAAAGACCTCCAAACCTTGTGCAACTTACAAAAAAAAGATCATCGACTTTTATTTGACAACTTCTGATATGAAAAATACGTTCAATTGGTCAAATTGATATGAACACATGAGTCGAGCGAAAGGTTATGTTCCCTCCCCCCTCCCCCTAAATTACCAAATTTTTTGGAACAGCTCGAAACATAGTTATAATCTACGGAGACATTTTGATAACACTTCACTCGCGATGTATATATTCTGTGCTCGTACAAATGTGAAGAAATCACAATGTCACCTCCACATATTTTAACTCGGGTGTACAACGTTATCTAGCGCAACCTTGGCCCAACATGAAGCTGAACACAGAGTTTCTGACTAATGTCATCTCCTGCTGATTCCCTTTCACTTCCCATTTAAAAGAATTTTATTTGCAATACGAGACACGTACCACCATACCGCGGTTGCCAAAGAATATTATCCAATACGAAAGGAGGACCCGACAATTTTTTAACAATTGTCACACAAATGTTCCTGTTTTCGTATTTCACCTGTACAGCTGGTAGACGAAGAACGCTTCGCACACAAAGAGCAGAGCAATAGAAATGTCTGGAATATTTCAATTGAATTAAATCAACACACTGTACATACGAAAACGAGAACGATAATAAATTTCTTTCACGAGTGCCATCGTAGAAACGTGATCGTTTTCAATGACTATTCGTCATACTGGTAAATAGTTAATTTAATAAACATTCTTTCTCTGCTACTTTTTTTTTACATAAGAGAGGTAAAGTGTGAAACACGAGAGAGCGAAACTGTAGGCCTACTCCCACGACGAAAGAAGGAAAGGAAAAAAGAAGATCGTCGGTTGTTATTTAACGCTTCGAAGATAAATAAACGAGCCTCGGAATTTTTGTGAAAAAAATTCCCGAAATTCGCCCCCATTCGACCGTGAATAAACAAAAATATATCGTATTCCTTTGTGAAACTATATTAATAAAACACCATATTTGGTCCAGTGAAAACGTATGCTTTTCTGCGTTTTTCCCGAAAGTCCTCGAAATGATCGTGTTAGTGTTCGACTGCTAATAACATTTGCATACTATTCACAACGATACACTTCGAGTTTCGATTTCGAAAGATATATTTCGTCCGCACTGAAATTCACAAATACGTCGAGTATTTCAGCAGAGAAGGAAGAGAAACAAAGGACATGGTGCTGTTGCACCGACGACGTCAACGTAGCAAACAGCATTGCGAAAAGGACCGAGCGTGGAAATCAGTCGTATGGAAGTTTGGTTTTGTTCTGTTTTACCTGTAGCCACCCTTGGCTCATGTTAACTCGATAAAATCACGCGGTCAGTTGTTTCCACTGTCACTTCTTCACCTTCGGAGGAGGAACTTCTTTCGCTGTGTCACTGAACGCGTGCGATAGGAGAATTCGAATCAAATGGGATACGACACGACCGAGAAGAACGAGAAGACAACGACCGAATCGTTCCGTGTCACGGTCGCGTATGAAAGCTACTGAAGAGACAACACATTGCTGCGAGCGCGAGCGGGACGAAAGCCGATTTTTGAAACCAGTCGTATCTCCCTCTCCTCGTTCTGCTCTCCATCGAGCTCTCGGTGGGCCCCCTAGAACGAATCTCAACTACCAATTGAACGACACCAAGTTACCTCGCTCGTCGATCCGACACTCGTCTTCCGATAAAACCCACGAAAAAAGGAAAAAGAAATTCACGTTCATAAATCTTGTTTACGAAGTCCTTACTCTTCTTCCTTTCTCTTGCCATCGGTTGGTTAACCGAAGCACTCACTCTCATGGACATTGCTTCCTCTGTTTATCGACTGTTACAAAAATTTAAAGTGCACAGGGCGTTTGTCGAGAATGTAGTGCAGCTTGTTAACTTTGTCTATTGGCAGATGGCCTTGGTTTCGAGCAATAACCGCCAGAGGTATTTTCGCGATTCGAATGTCGCGACAAATGATACGATCGCTATTTCTTTCGTCAGTATCGAAAAATTTCATCTATCCGTGTATTGATATCGCCTAACGCGTTACGCTCGAGATTCGTACCACGGATTAACACGTAATTACGCTAGCTACAAGTGTGTAGTTGAGA